ACTATATAAACATCAATATTTTACTGATGTAGTCTACTCATGTCTCGCATTCTACTCGAGTCTGCTCGAGTCGAAATATAGACTGTAATTTCGTAATGGATCAATAAATGGAGGCTGCGTGACGTCAGAGGGTGCGGCGAGGGTGGACGAGCCCACGAGAAACGTCTTATACGCATGCTCCTCTTCATCGTTCACGGCCACGTGTAGACGCACGTGTCAATTTGAAATAACTTTGATTATTTTCGTGAAAACGTTCGCGTTATAAAAGCAATAACAGCATAAAGAGATAGTTGTGTGACGGAATTAAATACTTGACATATTGCAATCTGTGTATCGAATATTTTGGTGATTCCATCTAACGGAGTTTACGATGAGAACATTTTAGTTTGAATTGGAAAATGTCATTAGCATGTAAAAAGAGAGTATATAAAAAATGATATTTTAATAATTTATCTTAAAATATTATACATATAACCTGTTTAATGTATACTCACATACATATATTTGTTGTCTTATACACCAAGTAACTAAAAAAATTAAGTTTTTTTAGGAAAAACTATTCTTCCAACTTAGACAACAGAATATTATTGACCAAATAATATTGACAAAAAGAATATACTCCTAGAAACATGATTAAATATTATGTTTGTTACTTTTGTTTCACAATCTTTAAAAAATCTTTTTAGGTTGTGACGATTTTGATATTCTCTAGTACACAAGGGATTGAATTATTTTGAATTGTGATACTTTTGATGTATTGGTATAAAAAATTTACTATTGTGACACTTCATTTGTGACAATTTGAGTTAAGTACATGACACTTTGATTCTAATGTTAACTTCAAGGAACTTTGAAGACGTAGATGAATAAACAATATTACTTTCGTCTATAAACGAATCATTTTGCTTCAGTTCTAAAGTATTAAAATCAGAAATACAAAATTATTCAAAATTATTACTGCAGAATAATAAATCTACACTATTACCTTCGCAAAAAATCATTTCTTTTAAATATATCACGTATTACAGTAAAAGTACTCAACATAAATTATAAATATTTAAAATATAAATAATATTTTTATCAATAAGATTTTATCAATTCTTTTATTGTCAGTTAATAAATTTTTCTTTTAGTAAGCTCGAACCAACCAAACAGATTTTAAATCATTTTGAAAAATAAAGAAATCTATAATTCTAAATCTAAGTCTCTAATTATCTTGAAATCTTTTTATATCAATATTATTACTGTTTTTATTATTTAGCATTGTATCATCATGTTTCGTCAAATTTGCTGAAAGCTTCTTTTGTGTATCTTATAAAACTAGCGGTTGCTAGTTTTTTCAAATAATACCAATGCGACTTATAAATACATATAATTATCTACGTAATTAGCAAATTTATAACAAATCTGGAATAATTCATAAAAAGTGACAATGCAAAATTTTTTTTTACTAACACATATATTTATCTTAATCAGTTAAAATAACTAAATTTAAAATAAAATAGTTTCTTCAATCAACAAAACTGTTTTAATTCTAAATATTCTTTACAAGATTTATCTTCTTATTTACAAAAACAATACAACTCAAAATGTGTTACTCTTATAAAAAGTATTATAATCTTTTTAAAACTTTATAAGACCGACAAAAGTACTATTTGACAGACAAATTGTGAAATCAAGTTAATTTACTTTCAATAATTGGTAGAGTAATCTTTATCTAACTTTAATTCATAATTATAATTCAAACTTTTTTAATTGTATCACTTTTAAAGTAAAAGAGCGATATATGTTAAATTATATACGTATATAATTGTCTCGGTAGTACAAAATCTACAATATGTTTGGCTAGGAAAATTAATTTTTTCTAATGTTGCTTAAATGCCTTGACCTGGAAAGATTATAGTCTTTTTTCTTATTCTTACAGACATTTTCAATTACGTAGTAGCAAAAAGATACAAAAGGCCCTTTACAAATTGAAAAATTTCTGAACCACCCAATTTAGATTGACCATAGACCCTATCAACGAATGTAATTGGCACTTCTCCTATTGTATAATTGAATTGTCTAGCTCTAACTATCATTTCCATTTGGAATACATATCCTTTGGATACACAGGAATGTATGAGCTTTTCCAATACATCTTTTTTATAAAGCCTAAAATTATAAAATCACATATTAAAGAACATATTGGAGATTGTTTCATAAACATTTTGTAAGAACAAAACTAATAAAGAAACACAACCAACTACTAAATATAATAATTATCTACATTTTATTCTAACTGTCCCTCTCTGGTTTTGATAAGCTTTTATGTATGTCGTTCTATGGACATAAATAAAAGGATAGTTGATTATGTTTCCTTATAAGTCCATAAAAAATTCATCACCTAAAACTACCCGTCAAGTCACTTGCACCAGGTCTCAACAGAATCTGCGTTAAAAAATTTGCGCCTCTACTGACTAACTTTCTTTTGAAATCCCAGCCATAAACACCACCGCCTTGTGCATATCTCGTACCACTAACTATATCCAGATTCAGATATCGTTGTAATTCAGCCATTTTTGGAATAAATTTAGGCTGAAAAATAAAGAATGTGTTTTATAGAGACGCTTATTATTATTACTTCTTTAGTTACTCAATAATGTGATACATACATGATGAGATAAATCTGCGTCCATGATAACAATAAAGTTTCCAGTTGCATATTTAATTCCATGTATGTAAGCAGTTCCTAATCCCAGTTTCTTTTCTCTCGGTTTTAAGATTATTTTATCGTCGCCGTAAACATGTTGTAATTGTTTAGCCATATTCAGAGTCCCATCTGGAGAACCATCGTCTATCACAATAATTTCATAGGCAAGCTCACTGTAACATTGTAAATGATGACAAAACTCTTCAACTATACACACAACTTCAGTTTATTTAATTTAAATTTATTTCATTATATATGAGAATTCTGATCAATTCTAGGTTATGCAGCTGTCTAATTACCTCTCCTCCATATATTTCACAATGAGCCATATTATTATTGGCAAATTTTCCACTTCATTATAAGTGGGAAGTAAAATCGAATACTTGTCATTCTTGCACAGCTTCTTTATGTTTTTCTTCACCTCTTCCTTATTTACCATTTTGATGCAGCTATTCACCAAGAAGCCGACGGGAGTCGACGTGCCGGAAAACAAATTCCAAACTTCAAGTGCTACAACTCGACAATTGGTAAGACTGTCAGAAATGTCAAAAACAGATGTGCAGACATACACGATCACAGCGACACCGTTGGTATTCAAAACCGCGATTTTCAAATTAATAAACTGTACATTTAACAGAACATTCAATTTTATATAAATTCTAACAAATAATTTTATAAAGAAAAAAAACAGAAAAATAAAAAAAATTATTTTAAATTATAATATTAAAATTAAGAGAGCGGTTATATGTGTAAATTAATAATATTTTTAAATAATATTAATTGATTATGAGAGAGAGGAAGTGAAGGTTTATTTGTCTAATAACTCTCTATATCATTAAATAAATGCAACATAAATAGAACTTGTTTCTGTAAGACGTAAAATATTTATGCACAGTAAAATATTTACAGCTAAAGCAATATAATTAAATAATTATGCAAGTAAAATATAATTAAAAAGATTATGGAAAGAACAGGAATTTCCTAGGAATTAATATAAATATAGTTACATATAAAAATTTTAATTTAAAGTGTAACTGTTATACATGTATTTATGTAATATTAGATAATTAATGCAAATTATTATCTTCTCGTACTATAATTCGATATATATTCTATTTACTTTATATTGTTACATTATATATATTTATTTCTACATAATATATACTATTTCTCTATTAAAATATTACAACTATATCTATGTGGAACTATATTTGCACCGTTTTATCGGAGTTATCAAATTTGTAAACAGATAATGCCGAATTAATATATAAGATATAATGATAAAAGCGTTTCTTATTCCTCGTACTATTTGGGCATTTTGTAAATTTTGCTACAATTTATAAGTTTAATTTATTATTACTATAATTGCTCGCTGTTGTATCGGTTAAATTTGTCGCATTTCCTCCTCGGCTATATATATACTATTTCCAGCTCTATAATCGCCGATATCAGTTATGCCGCAATTCGTAGAGCCTACGAACATTCTGCAAATATCCGCAAAGATGCTTTCACGCATACATGTTCGTGAACGCATTCGCACACAAATATACGTATTTCATATATATTTGGTCCATTGGCCGTTTCCGCCGTGTGCGACAAAGGTCGAGTAACCAATAGTGCCGGTCGATTAAATTTTGGCACCCTGGACAAAATATTTAGCGAAAATATAAGCATTAATTATCACAGTTCAATTACCTCATGAAGTAATATACGGTTGATAAAACGTACATCACATTGCAAATGCATACGTAAAATTAATAAAATAACTGGCGTATCAATTTCTTTTCATTGCATATTGATTTTATCGAAAAATAGAAAAAAATTCTAATGTAACGAAATATATATCTATTCGTTACGTTCGTAATCTTTATAAATACCATATATTTGATTTTATATGGATCACATCCATCGTGTAGGACGTTTGTGAATTTTACACACGCTTGACGATACGTATAAACGCAAGTTGTACATATTTTCTGACAGATTGGAAATTCTTATGCCTTTCTAACAAAAATTTGTATTAATTTGAAATTTAAATTTTTATATCTGTTCATATACGTTTATTTCGTGGGGTTAAATCTTCCGGACGGCACTGTCGGTAATGCACCCCTCATCCCGCGCAGCAGCGTGAGTGTTCACACCGACGATCCCCACCGCCGGCTCCACCGCTGCCGACCTCGAGATAGCCGAACAGCCGCCGCTCCGAAGCAAACGACGCCGCATTCTACGATCGGTCGTTCGTGGAATCGGAGTGCTCGTTCGTCCGTTCTGATCTGGTCCGGTCGGCGTGTATTTGGTGTCCCTGCGAATTCACATACGACAGCGTCGGTACGTGAAATCGGAGTCGCGATTTCTTTTTTTCACCCTCCCGAGGAGACGACACGGTCCTCGAGCGATTCCTGCAAGATCTCTCGTGGACGGTTGCTTGTGTATGTGTGTGTATATGCGTGTGAGTGCGTGCATGCCTGTGTGCGTGTGTGTGGTGGAACATATCGGCAGTGATTGTGCGGTGTGTGCGTGTCGATTTTGTGGGCGATTTAAAATGCGCCACCCTCTCTCCGCCAGCGGAAGCTGATAATTCGACAAGACGCGCTCGCCGATGGTCGCCGATGGTCGCCTCTTAATGAATTAAACGATCGGCCAGAAATTAATTTTTACGACAGAGTCGATTACGGGAAGAGCGAACTCCAGCTAAGATCTAGGGCAACGATTCCGTTTGCGTTTGCGTCTTTGTGCTAATCGTTCTCTCAAACTTGAAAGATATCCAGCTTATATAGTATATGGCATCTCTGCGTGGATCCTTTTTTTGTCGGTTACTTCGTTTCTCATATGGTTCTCATATGACATTTTCGTTCTTTTTGCGTCGATTTTTTTCGTTCCTTTGCATCGATTTTTTGTCACGTCGGGTTTTTCTCGGCGGTCAACTTTTCCTCTTAACGCGTCGGCGATTCTTTTTTCGCGCAGGGAAGATCAGCCGTTCAGCAACGTGAGCGAGTTTACAACTTGTTTTTTCTCACGGTCGAGAGATATATCGTCTCTCCACGGCGAATACAAACTGCGTCTTCGTCGCTTCTAGTTATCTTCAGTCGTCCGCGTAAAATTTTTTCCCGCGTCTCGTTGCATACAAGCCAGAGTTACATGATGTTAACGACGGTGACGTAAAGTGCGAGCGTCTACGACTCGACGCAACCCCCCCGTGATACGATCGACTTCCGCGAGAAAACTCATCGTCCGACGTACAGGATCAGAGAATAATTTCGGTGAGCCCCCGTTACAGGGGAGGATGTGAGGAGATCGTGAGGATCTAGCGGGGGTCCACGGACACCATCGCGGCCGTCTGGCTAGCCCCGAGCTCCGGATGGCAGCATGGCGCGCACCCTGACGTGCGAGGGGTAAATTGAACCGCTCCGCACCCTGCGATCAATAAACTCGCCGAGAGGGAGCAGCCCCGTGACGAGCCGTTCAACTCCGCCACATTTTGCCTCCCTCCTTCCCTCTGCGTCTCTTCATCCCCTCTCGCGATTATTTC